ACATTCTCTGAAAGTGTATAAAGTAGACGTTCGATTGCAATGGCAATCTTTTGTGTATAATTCAAAGGTCAAAGAAGTTTTTGAAATATAAATTGTTTCTCCAGATTCTTGAACATATAAGGAATAAAACGTGATGTAAAAATGGATAATATGTGGTTTCTAAAGCACAAACGGTATGAACTCCGTACACTTGAATAATAACTCGTAAAACAATTATAGAAAAGAAATCTGTGCTCAGTGTAGTTCAACGTGTATCCACTAAGATGGCTACGGTATACTATTCTTACAAAGCGGGAAATTTAAACTGGAGTACTTATTGGAATGTATTAATGTATCTATTTTTTAGCAGTATAACTTATTCCTTTTATTGGCTTTGTTGGTTATTAATGCAGATAAAATGTATCCAGCAAAAAACCGTACCATAAGTAGGAATTACACTGGTTAACGTTACCTACATTCAAAATTTGGGTTAGGAAACTGGCAAAAGAAGTATTTATAAACGTTGAGTTTAGGATCATGGGATTTTTCACTCTACGTTATAATTAATTAATATAAAAATTTCAGAGCTTACAACAAAAAGAGGTTATGTGGGATGGTGTTTCTGAATTGATAATACAGTGTTAATACTGCTTACGTTTACCAGACGAAGCGCTACTTATGGGCAAGAATACTCTCGCCCAAGTTGCTATCTAATAGCACTGTCGACTTGTACGATGGTATTTACACCTCGGAAGTGCTATCAGACAACTCTGCAAGAAATCAGTAACTGAAGATTATATATTTATTCGATAATAAATGTACACGTCACTTACAACTAAATTTAAGCACTATTAATAATAACGAAACCCCACCGATTGGATGCCATCTTGGTTCCCATAATTTGAATGAACTACATACTATCGGCATTGAATAATTCAATCGTTGAGTGAAGGATCTCAATGTTATCGGTATTATATCAAAATATGATTTCACACCCAAACAAATAACATTCAATTATGAGTTAGTATTGCTGACTTGCAAATCTGGTTTTCCTAAAAATATTGCGTGGATTGTCCTTTGTGATCATAAAGGCTGAGTATTCCTTAAGGCCGATTCACATTATTATCGGTCAGGTTACGGTCAGAACATGAACAGTACAGAAATACACGGTTACAATAATTGACCGCACCGTGTTCTGACCATGATGTGACCGATGGCCTTATATAAACGCACTGCAATGACATCGTTCGGTAAAATGATAATCGGAAAAAAATGTACTCTGTGTCGGAAGTCAATCTTCGAAAATGTGTACAGTCGAAGGATAGCCTAAAACAATCCATTAATAGAACTATATTAAAATAAAGATCCTCAACTTTACTTACCTAGGTAGGTACTGGTTTTTTTTGTTATTTTGCAGTTAATAGAAAATCAGGTAAACATAATCCATAACATAACCCAACTTTGAATGGCATTTCAGGAATTACAATTACGCACTGTTATTGGCATTCAATTGAATTACGGAACAAAACCGCATATTATGGTAAATAAGTATTTTTAGGTAGAATTTATTTCGCAATAAATTCCCTTTTTAGAGTTACGGAACGATATTTACAGTTACAGGTGGTAACCAAAGATAAGCAAAATACTATTTTTAATTTTATCTCAAGACGAATGTATGCGAGTGTCAGCGACCTAACGAAGTACAAATAGGGATCGCGGATTCGGGATGGCAGCACAAAGCAACGAATATTTCAAAAATACTTCTTAGTTCACTTTTCTTACACCATGGCGTGCAAACGCACCCTTAATCAAAATGTATTCCTTCGATATACCGAAGTTACAGTTGTTATTCGATGTTCGATAGCAAACGGAAATTCGGCAACTCCAATAGTTGGTGATAATAAATATAAAAGAGAGCTGGCCAACTGAAGTTTCGCTTATCTTTGGGACGACAGCGGCCAGTTCGATAAATTGGTAAAGGTAGTAATTTTCTTGGCGTGCGGCGCTTCCTGGGCAATTATCTTCAAGTAGAAACGGTGATACGTCTAATTTCCGGACGAACTCCTTTATATATCTATTATTCCCAACCCAATAAAAAAAAATAGACGAAATCCAAAATGGGAAAAGAAAACGGAAAAATTAAAAGGCCTAAAATAATTATTGACGATAAAACCGCGAAATACAATGGAAATAATACCTGAGATATCGAGCGGCCTGCAGATATAAGTTGCTGGTTATATCAATTATTTCTTGAGTTATCAAGTCTTCTAAGACAATGCTAAGTAGATAACTTCTAACTACCTTTACTAAGGATAACTCAAATTGCTTTTATATTCGCACTCGATAAATATCAAAATGGACGCAACAACGTCCAAGTGCGAAGCAACAATACCACAATTTTTCCAATAATAGCGATCGGCGTTATCATTTTACTTTTAAACTTTAAACGACATCTAACAAATTTTGTATAAAGCCAGGTACTAAAATGCTATAGGAAATTGAAATTTGAACTGTAACAAACGGGAGATTATTCAACAATCATTATAAATAAACTTTTGTAATAAACATTATTCTGTATGTTTTAACAGAGGTTTTAACCGAGATTTTAACTAAGACAATAATAGGGGCATCGTGAAATTGACAATTTTTTGATTTCCCTCCGTATGTCTTAAGCGAGCGAAAATGTTCAATTTTTTTTCCATTTTAAGTTTGACCCAAAAACAGCACATAACATATTATATTACTTTTTTTGTGGATATATCAACAATTACGGAGATACCCTACAAACGTTCCGAAGATGGGACACCCTGTACCTACTTGTTATACTTCGATGCGTGCGATAAAGCCGTTATACCATTGTACCCATAACAAGGTATCTACGTTTTTTCGCCATTTTCAAACGGCGCCCTCGCACTAAAGCGTCCAGTACCAGTTAGGAGTGGCAGACGGGCGTCTATACACAACATTAACATTGCAGAATCGCATAGGTATTTTTCACGCGAGCTCTCGGTCTATATACAAATAACTACTTCAATACTGGTTAAAACCAGCCACCTATGGCATGGTCCCTTTTAGTTTGCGAATAGATAATCCGCCATACGTAACTAGACTTTTATTGAAAATTACGTATTTTTTATTGTCAATTATATTGTATACGTTATATAACCCACCTTTTCGCCAAGAGCTCTAGCGTAGCAAATTTGCAATTTACAAATTACGGGAAAGCGCAATACAGCCTACGATTGCAAAACGGTCGGAGTCACGATCACTTATTTTCTATCTTACTTCTGTCACTCTCAATAAAGAATAAATATTTACCCCTCGATTTACCCTGATTGTAAGTGCAATTTCTTAATCATTTGAATTGTCGCACAATTTCGATACGGAACAGTTCCTTTCTGCTTTCGCCCTAGAATACTATTACGTGACAACGTATTTCGTCAACGTAATTTTCACCACTTCAGATTGCCGTTACGTATATATCAAAAACGGAAACTAAATCGATCCTAAAGCCAAGGCCAAGTCGGTCACAAAACGTTCAATTTTCGCACGGATCCGTTATCCTCTTACTACAATCATTGTCGCATGCCATCGATTGTCTTGTACGCTATTTTCTAGACAGCATGTCGCCGTAATATCCGTTTGTCTTTAATTCAGATAACAATTTGTTATTAAATCGTGTACTTAGCCTACTTATATTTAAAGCGGCAAAGATCGTAATTGCTGGGAATATTTGCTTACGATATTTACATACATATACTACAAGTTCCACCTTGTAGGTATTGCGAAACGAAATTATTACCTACCTTGGAATATCGAAACCTTTCACATTGCAACAATAAAATACTAGTTTCCTTTATCATCGCAAAAAAATCGAGATACCTGCCTAATCCTTTTCTTTTAGCCACGATCACATTTTCAATAAATTTGCGCAAGCTTTGACGAATGGTTTGCGAAAATTAGAGAGAGCCAGAGATGAATTACGTAAGTTATTATTAATATAAACATTCGAGACATTTTTGTGTCAGTAGGTATATAGGTGCAAACGTCTTTACTGGAACTGTATTAAGGTTACAAACGTATTGTAATTCGACCGACTGTCCTTGTCAAATTAACTTTCGCTTACATCTCTCTGCGTTCGCAAATCTTTCCAGTCTTTTTCATCTAATTTTTTTGATTTTGAAGAGTGTGAACCGCAGTTTACATTGTCTCAATAAAATGGATCAAGAACATAACCCTAAATGTAAAAGACTCGTTCTAAAGGCATTTGCCTCCCACAATGCGATTTGGGGCAATAAACAAGTAAACGGTAAATAAAATAACTTACCGAAATACGATTGCTTGCGAAATTTACAAACAGCGAACCCACTTTCTACTAAACACTTTCCACCAGGTTGCTGGTGACACTTGCACAATTTAAAACACAAAATTACTTCTAGCATATTTTACTTCACTAACATATATGCATATTACTAGCGCGAGTAATAATATGCAAATTAGTCTAAAATATTTACGAAAACATAATCCACCTAACAGCAACTCGCATTTGACAACCGTATCACCGCTCAATGCGAACTGCAAAATGCCGAAGTGAAGTAAATGAACTACTACTACGATAACAGCACGAACGTGAACCTACGCCATCGGAATGTTTCGTTCGCGCACGAAACCTACTTCTACGCGAAATTGGTAGATGGCGACTTTCGATTTTATCAATAATTTGTTTAATTCAGTAATAAACATTGTGAATCACCTGACGGAGTTCCCTAACGTTGGAATTCCATTCCTTATCTCGCACTCGCGGTAGAGGATGTAGGAAATTGATGCGTTAAATATCTAATCTTCCGCGATTATACGGTATCGCGCGACAATATTGATTTACTAAATTTCGTTGTGTTGGATTACCGACTTTATCGTTTATTTATGACCTTAATAGATTATTATAATTGAAATGACGTACGGATATCACTGTTTATTCTTAACTGCTGTAACTAACTGTTTTTCAATTAATTCTATAATAAATCGATTCACATTCATTCAAAACGTTTAAATCTGCCTCCACCTCCATAATAATTGTGGGTACGTATCTAATGTTAAGGGTTTCGAATTCACTTTTATTTGTTGTTAGTCCACCAACAAAAATTGATTAATGCTGCCTATTTCCACAGTATTATAAAAAAAATTAGAAAAGTTTCTACATACGCATAATCCTAACTACAATTTCATACGGATTATACGATTCAAAATGCGTACAGCGTTTGTCCATGTTTTCATTTATGGAAAATGGAGCACCCGGTGAGACTGCTCTAAGCTAAAACACAGCAGCTGCCATTTCAACGCAGTTACCACAAACCACAATTAAGCTATCATCGTCAGTAACTAAAAGACAACATAGGAATCATACGAAACTACGAAGGCATCTTCCCGCAACCAACGAAAGTGGAGTGCTTAGGCATCAGGTTTCCGTCCGTCTATAGGTACGTCGTTCCGCGTCAATGAAGGTTTTTCTCTGGAAGTCTTCGGAAACAGCTCCGATTTGTATGATTCTGTAACAGTTTAGTTTATTCATATCCAAATTTCAAAATTACCGCTTGCTACGTTAGGCAGGATATAGGTGAGATGGCGTCACTTGTACGCGTGCTTCTTTCCTCGCGCAGAATCGCGTTAATTTTTCACTTCATTTCCGTTTTAAAGCCAACGAGGTTGTACTTGTAGAGCGTGGCATTGTGAATTCTTCTAAAACCAGTGGGTAATATTTGCCATCATTCACGTAAAATCTCTGGCAATTTTACCTTTTTATTGGCGTTGTCGAGTAGAGTAACTCAGAAGCCGTTTTCTCCATTGCGAGGCTATATATCTGGTGGAAGTTCATCGCCCTACCTACATGTAAGTGAAATGGCGTTGGCTTTCTTTTACGTTATGTTATCTAAAATTCTTTCAGATTCACAACCTCTTGGATAATTTCCATACCTATTTCATTGATTTAAGTATTTTTCATTACCCTCCTGACGATTTCAGGTATGTTATTAAAAATCTCGTTAAGGGAGTGTTACATCTTCATTACTTTTAGGGGGTCCATGTAGTAGATGAATTCTTGTACCGGTCAATCCATGTAGTAGATGAATCCTTGTATGTAAATGAATTTGCATCTTGCGAATATTCCGGAGTACGAACACCTGTTGATTGCCGGCAGCTATCCGGCGTACCACCGAGTAGATAAGCGCTAACACCTAAACGATACCGGGAGCGACCAGCTGATTGTGGAATTTTCGGAAGATACGATCTTTTACACAACCTTTTTGTTATTTGCTTCAATACCATTAATCTAGTGTAACCTTCCGACGATTTATGATTGGAGCTTTGTATTTTGTTCGCATCAAGTGTTTGAGGTCGTGGCTCTCTTCAAGAGCAACGCACCTGTATTTAACGTATGGGTAAACGAGCCGGCTACGAGTAAGCTATTTTTGGCCCTTCCGGCTCATATAATCGTTCCGAGCGTTGTAGCTTGGGGTTTGTTTTTGTGTTACAGAACTGGAACTTCGAAGGAGAGCTCTTTTTCGGAGAAGACAGCGTATGTGTTATTCAAGGTAAGATTTTTAATTTACTTGTACCCAGTGTTGCCTATATGAGTTGTTATTCGGGTTAACTTAATTCCATCTTTGCATCCGTTGAAATCTTAACTACATTTTTGCTCGATCATTGTTGTAGGGGGCTGGTAACGTAATTATTAGGGAAGTGTTCATGAATTTATTTGGGGATTATTTTTGTCATTTAAAGTATTTGTTATTGTCGTATTGAAGATACATTTTATTTGCCGATCCTGCACCGTTTTTGCCAGGATTAATAAATCAGAATTGCTCGTAGTGAATTTATTATTTGGCTCTCTTGTGTTTTCCCAATTTCTATACAGGAGAGGTCAGAATTTGTGCAAAATTGGGTGGCGCTCAACTAACCATTTCTAGTAACTACCAAAGATCAAAAACTTATGTTATATGCCCAAACGAACAAACCGCTGTGGAAGATTCTCATCTCGAGCCCTTCTTTTAATTAAGAATCTGAGCTAGCTGGCCGTTTATGCGGCGGGGTTTGAGTTTTACAGCGCCGAACTAACCTCACGTTATAATTCTTTTTTTTTTAATGTTTGTTTTTTTGTATTGTTTAAAATCGGAAACCTTTTAAAGAAGGGAAATAATTATTTATATTGTTTACACAATATTTATGCTACTTAGAGAAATATGCGTGGGTTACGTTACGTCATTACGTGCATATTTTATGTAGGTGTATCTAAGAGCATATAGTATTAGTATGTATGTATATACATGGACTGCTATTAGCCCTATCCTTTCAATACAAAATGGGTGGTCACGGATAGAGGGCACCGTAGTCGTGGGTATGTGAATCTCAGGGTACACTAAATAGTACTAGCGGTATAACGGAAATTCTTGAAAGATACTGCATTTTTTTATACCAAGGTGCCACTTGGTACAGTTGTTCCTTAGAGCCATTTAAACGATTTGACCCGAAGAACACTTGACATTTTCCGTGTGGGTAGATTTTAGAGGGGTTGGGGGTGATTTATTGTAACATTTTTTTAAAAAACTAAATATGGCCTAGAGACGAGATCTGGGTGTCGATTTCGTATGATTTTAACCCGAGGAATCCAATGGTAGCGCCAGAAATGTAATCCGGATACCGGAAGTCCGTGAAAAGCCGCCATTTTTAGAAAATGACAGACTTTTGATCGAATTATATTTCTAAGGCACACCGGGTCGTGTAAGGTGTCTAGAGTTATGTTTTTGGGGTCAGGGAATTCATTTATGATAACAAAAATAACCTACTGGCATCGGAACTGCATGAGAGGCTTCCCTACTGCACTTTTTGAAGACGTCGCACGCGGTGAAACCCAAGATATTCCAAAGTTTTAATATATAAACTTATATTATTTTATTTAATAAAAATACACATTAACAAAACATAAGATATCTTAAAACATGGGATAAAAAATGTATAAGCCTATGACGAATCACCAAGTACATCGCTGACCTCTGAGATTGCGTTATCACTACTGAAAAGGAATTTTACATATAAATATTAAAGGTTCGGTCGGTACTAAATTATATCGAAAGTATACAATATTCTTACCCTCTGTTTGAGCAATCTCCCATACATTTTTGGCATGCAGGGGAACATGGTAATCCGTGTCGCCGCAGCACGAGTTGGAGGTGCACATAAGGAGGGCGGCGTATGTCGCTGGCCATATCTGGGGATGTGCAAACCAGGTGATGAGAAGCTCTACAAGTCCAGAAGGATGGGGATGGACACTTGAAGCCAAAGGCAGGAAGGTTCTGTAGTCCAAGCTGCCACAAGTATGGAAGGCAGTCCGTGCTCTGAACAGGTGTGGCTGCGCGACAGGCTGCGAGACCCTTCGGTGCAGCTGCCGGCGACACGGATTGCCATGTTCCCCTGCATGCCAAAAATGTGTGGGAGATTGCTCAAACAAAGGGTAAGAATATTGCATACTTTCGATATACCTAATTTACTACCGAACCTTTAATACTCGTATTTATACCGAGCGAATATTCCCAAAACGAACATAGGGAATTAACATGGGAAAAGGGGTTTTTGTAGATAGTTGCTCCCCATGTTAACTTAGAAGGTTGATCATGACACCAATCGAAAGAAGATTTTTTTCCTTGTCTAATGATATACGAATTAGTTCATTTTCAGGTGTATTTCTCACTATATCGGCAAAAAAACGTTTTTCGCATGTTAATTTCCTACGTTCGGTTTTAAAATATTCACCCGGTATGTGAAATTCCTTTTCAGTGGTGATAACGCAATCTCAGAGGAGGTCAGCGATGTACTTGGTGATCCTTCATAGGCTTATAAATTTTTTACCCCATGTTTTAATATATTTTATGTTTTGTTAATGTGTATTTTTATTAAATAAAATATTACAAATTTATATAGGTATTAAAACTTTGGAATATCTTGGGTTTCACCGCGTGCGACGTCTTCAAAAAGTGCACTAGGGAAGCCTCTCATGCAGTTCCGATGCCAGTAGGTTATTTTTGTTATCACAAATGAATTCCCTGACCACATAAGTCTAGACACCTTACACGACCCGGTGTGCCTTAGAAATATAATTCGATCAAAAGTCTGTCATTTTATGAAAATGGCGGCTTTTCACGGACTTCCTGTATCCGGATTACATTTTTGGCGCTACCATTGGATTCCTCGGGTTAAAATCATACGCAATCGACACCCAGATCTCGTCTCTAGGCCATATTTAGTTTTTAAAAAAATGTTACAATAAATCACACCCACCCCCTCTAAAATCTACCCACACGGAAAATGTCACGTGTTCTTCGGGCCAAATTGTCTAAATGGCTCTAAGGAACAGCTGTACCAAGTGGCACCTTGGTATAAGAAAATGCAGTATCTTTTGGTATACCGCTAGTACTAAAAGTCGTCTAAACACCACTCGGATCACGTAAAGAGTACATATCTTTTATAGCCAAGTATCGAATATTGCACTGCAGCGCCTCCACACAACGACTCTGACATTTCGTGAGGTGAAACAAATCTTTGATCGCATTGTTTATCATGCATGTTAAATAAAAATTCGGCCTTAATGAGTGGTTTGTAGCAGTCCGTACGGTTTAAGAGATTAGAGTATAGTTTTTCACGTTTGATTTGCATCTGATTTACTGTAGAAATTAAGGTTGGGTCAGTTGCGTGTTACATTACAGTGTAGTTACAGCCAGCTGTCTTGCAGGAATTCTAAAAATTCAGGCTTCTTTTCTTGTTGCATTATTGTTTAATTATATTAAATTTCGTTCCTAAATAGAGACGTAAATATTATATGAAACAGTAAAAATAATCAAACGTGCAAATTAGTTCGTAAACACGATTTCTGACAAGAATTGTCTCCAGAAACACCATTTTTAATATATTCTTTGGTGGATGAAATGTGGAAAATATCAGGAAACCATCTACACAACAAGTCGGGAGCAAGGAGTCGTTTTACAAGTCATTTAACGCGGGGATCTCTTTTAATAGCTTGATCGTAACCTCAAATTGGATTATTGCACACAAAAGAAAAATTACAAAAAAACGGCCGTTCTGGAGACGAAACTATGTAAAATAATAGCAAAACAGATGTGTACTTACACTCTTCTCGCTTTTTCTCTTCTTTGCAACTCATATGGTCCCGTTGGGAAAGCTGTAGAATTTTACAGAAGAGTCCGTATTTATGTACGAATTACTGCATCCAACACAACACAACAAGAAACTCTGGACGAATGAAAAGTGTTTTTCGAAGTCATAATTGTTGTTTTATTTGGAGTAAGCTTGTAAATATTAATACAGTAATAAACGGTCGATAAACTTGTTTCACCACATCTTATGTTAAATTCGCCACCAGACGGCGCCACATCCGAATTTGCTACTCGCCTATAGAAACCGCGTAGTACGAGAAGCTTTAAATACCCTTGCTTATCTTCAATACATCCACAAATAAGAATAGGTTTGCTTTTTTGGCATTAGGCGATTAATTAATTGACGTGTGTTAATTTATAGGTTGACAGTCTCAAATCGTGTCTCATCGGACAACTTCGGACAGACTCGTTTACCCTGAAAATCACATACCCAGGCGATGTCCTTGACCATATTTTAGTTACAATTAGCAGTCCATGTACTACAAGTCTAAAGGTGGGTTCATAGCTCTCCGTTTATCCGTTGCGTTGATCCGTCAAACGAATAGTGCAATTTGTTAAGGTTCATAGCAATCCGTCCATATCGTACGTTTACAAGGTATAACCATAACCGAAATTTTATTTTGTACTGTACCCACCGTGATCTTCAATACGTAGAAACTACTATTGGATTATCACCGCGAAGAACGTAATATGCTTTTATTCTTTTTGTGTATATGTTCTTATCTATGTATCTAGGGTTTTTTTCAAAATGAGCAGTGCGATGACATGGTGTGCTGAGTTTTTCAGCGTACCTTGTTGACATACCTGTATTGAAATACGAATTTTTCTTAAACGTATGTAAATTTGTTTAAGGTCTACGCAAACCGACGCGGACATGCGGACGCGGGAGCGGTACGGATGCGGGAAATATTTCTACAGCGGTGTATGCGTGTGAACCGCCGCATCGGTGTGCGTGCTCGCATATCCCGCTGTAGACATATTCCCCGCATGCGGTACCGCTCCCGCTCCCGCGTCCGCATGTCCGCATCGGTTTCAGAGTTGGACTGGGTCACCGGGTCAACTGAGTCACCTGGGTCAATGAATTAAACTGGGTCACTGGGTCACGTCATACTCTTTTCAGTTAGACCCAGTGACCCAGTTTGACCCAGTGACCCAACTTGATCCAGTTTGACCCAGCGACCCAATTTCACCCGGGGACCCAATTCGACCCAGTAACCTAGTTTGATCGAACAACGTAGTTAAGTCAGTGCCCTCGGTTCAAGTGTCTGTACAGATTATGAAATAAATGAAATGCTGGTTTGTTGAAAATAATACTCGATTGCTTGACAACTGACATTTCTGTGATGTTTGCTTTAATACTGCCGTAAAAAACTTTCCATGTCCCGAATTGTATTAGAGTAATGTTATTTCTAAACAGTTCCCTCCTTCATTTCTTTGCTTCAGGGCTTACCAGTTTGCTTACAGGTATTCATTCACATTTAATTTTTTTCTACTAGTTAGCTTAATCCAAATAAATCTTTTCTCTAAATACTTTCATTTACTACTTGACTACAAACTATAAACAAATGCATTTGATTTTTTTAGGTATTGGTTCTCTTGAATGAAATTGGGCTACGTGCTTGTTGGCGAATATTATTGAGGAAGTTTTTTTTTTAATTAAAAGTTACTTGAAATTGTTTTGGATGATACCTAACAATAATTTAATTACTGGGGCACCGGGTCAAGATGGGACACTGAGTAAAGCTGGGTCCAGCTGGGTCACCGGGTCAAGTTGGGCCACAGGGTCAAACTGGGTCACCGGGTCAAGCTGGGTTACCGGGTCAAGCTGGGTCACTGGGTCAAGCTGGGTCACCGGGTCAACTGGGTCACTGAGTCACCGGGTCACTGGGTCAGTAAACTAACCGGGTCACTGGGTCAGTAAACTAACTGGGTCACCGGGTCACTGGGTCACTCTATGCTTGACCCAGTCCAACTCTGGTCGGTTTGCGTAAACCTAAGTGTGTAATATACACTTGTATATGAATGCCGAAAAATCTGTCATAATTTTATGTCTAATAAATAACGGTTTGCAATGCTCAATACTACTAGCGAATGAGATTCTTCTTAAAATTTGTTTCTGCAGGAGCAAGATTCGCTGACAATCCGAAGCCATGCCCCAGATAATTAGACCGTACGACATGTGGCTGTGCGCGTGCGCAAAATAAAATCTCCTCAAAGACTCAAAGATGAGCATAGCACAGCGATGAAGACCTCTATAAGTTATTAAATTGAGAAAAATCAAAATAAATCATTTTCAGAAGATTCAGTTCGAGAATGAACAAGAAGATGTCTACTTACGCGAGTTGAAGTGAATAAAAACATTGCTTGAAGGAGGGGACTCGTCGAATCGGTTGAAAAGCGACCACCGCTACTCCGTGCAACGTCATACATCTTTTCTCCTTGTGCCTTTAATTATAAAGATATTTTCAAACTATACTCCTCGTGGGATTCGTTAAGGCCGATTCTCACTTTCGTGCAAAGAACCGGCTCGGCAACGGTACGGCACAGACTCGGCACGGGCAAAGTTTTTTGAGTTCAATTCACACTGCGACACGCTTGCCGCAGGTAAGCAGTTTCTACGTGAGTTTCAACTGTGGAAATGTTCGAAACTTCCACGTTAATTAAAATAGGTCTAATATTAGATGACGAAGAACAAGAAAGTACATATTGCAGAAAAATAAAAATACGTTTTTGTGTATATAAAATGCATAAGAAGTATCTTTTATGACCGAAATCATTCTCTCGGACACATTCAATCAGCATCTCATCTTGTTCCGCTGAAAAAGTGTTCCTTTGCTGACCCTTCAACCTTTCTTGTACTATGAAAACTGAACTAAAGTCGGTGACCTGCACAGATTGTATTCACACTTGTCGGAACGTGCACGGTACATGCCCGGCAAATATTGTTTCAGAAGAACACCGCGTGCAAAGGCCGTAGCTTGCCGAGTCGTTGCTCGCATAGTGTGAATTACACCCCAAAAAATTCATAAGATTCAATAATATAGATATTTTGCCGAGTCGATGCCTTGCCTGTGCCGAGTACGTGCCTTGCACGAAAGTGAGAATCGACCTTTAAGTTTTTTAAAATTCTGATTCGTCTAAGAGCAATTATTATAAACGATATTCTAAAAAGTTAAATTTTGCAAAACACTGTTTAAGCGAATGGCTAACGATTATGTGTGCGTTCTTGCCGTATTGCAATGTAAAATGCGCGGAGAAAAATCCTTATATTTTCATTACCATTAGAGCGAACGACAAACAAAACGCACCGTTGTAAAGATAATTAAAAATAGGAACTTTTTGAAAATTTCTTCAATTTTTTCCTTTTTTGGGCCGTTTGGACATCGGTATCAACAGACGAATTTAGGGGGTTAATTAGTAGGCCAAACACTACAGAAAAACATCATTAGATGCTTTTTACCTTTAAAAGCTTGACGGGGGAACGAATTGGGCTATCAGAAAACTCTACTATCTAGCATTGCACTTCATCTTGGGTAATCATGAGAATTACTATATTTTTATTGAGCAGGTTAAAGTAAAGTGTATAGGTATGTTTCAGAAAAGCAATAATAAAATCCGGGACTCTTCCCTTAACTCCTCTCGCCTGTTTTGCGTGGTGCAGCACGGTTCTTTCTTTTAAGATCAATGGAACATAAACCTTTTGATGCTTTATATCCTTCCACCTTCCACTCTGGTGGTGGATGCAGGTCTTACTACGGCGGGAGTTGGCGGTTTTGCTCTTGTTTCTGCTCTGTATTACTTCGTGGTTATTCCACATAGTGCCGCCCTTTTCAATAGAGCAGGATTACGTTGGTCGGTGTGTCAAGGTTTTCCCAAAGTGTGGAGAAGTTTTCCCTAGGTTTTTATCTAGACATTTTGACCTGGTACTTTCTCTTCATCAGTGAAATTATTAGCTGCTGGATGTATTTGGCACATAGTAAAGTTGTATTTTGTATTAAGTACTTGTTTACATCTTACAATTAAGTGTATTACTATACATACATACGTGAGAATCAACTTAACTGAATACAGCGATTTTATTTGAAATAGTGCGAAGTTTTTTTTGGAAAACAGCAACACTTGAATTTGCGATGATCGTCAATGTCACTTGAATCGGGTGTATAATCAAAATCACCTCGCTCAACTGACCTTCTTGAGCCAGATTCTGTTGAAGGGGCAACGTAAAATTCAATTTCCTTCGATTGTTCTCTTCTACCGTAAACTATACGCGCTATGCCATTACCAGCATGAGAATCTTTTTTATTACTTTCACTGGTGCTGACGGAACATGTCTCCTCAGGCGAGTTCGTATCAACTTCTCCAGCAGTGTCGATCATTACGCTCTGCGGGGACTCCTCTTCAACAACACTGTTGTAGTCACACTTTTGAAAATCTGTTGTTATTTTCGAGATGGCCGGAAATTGATAACAACAAATATACTTTCTGGGTACTTCTAAACTAGATGAGAAAATCGGGTTAAAAATTTCTGAGCTGTGCGATCGTACACAGCAGCGTGGTTTAGTAATATCGTCAGATCTTGATTTTAATTTAACGTTTATAGGGGAATTTTGTATTGTGATAGCACTCAAGCAAGTGGGTGACTGTGAACTGCACGTTGAGATATTACAAGGTGGTGTAGACGCGTCATTGGGGGATAAATCTGGGGATTCTTGCGAGTACTTCCAAACTAGATCTTGCCAACGTATTTTAATTTTCGGGATTAACCGGTTATCGTCAGTTGATGGTGACAAAGATTCTGAGGAGACGGAGGGACATACTTTGTTTTTCTTTTTTAGTCTTCGACGTGCCTTGTATCGATTATTAATTGTAACTATACGTGGACGAAAGGGTTTATACGTAAATGCCATGTCGTTGGCAATGCTTGACGGTATATTAAAACCGAATTCAAGTAGATTAACAGGTTTACCAGGTTCGCTGTGGCAGTTACTAGAAGGGGAACTTAATTTATTTTTACGCCTCAAAGTGGTGTTCACTGCTTCTTCCCACGCTGAAGAAACTTCTTGATCCGTTGTGTCACTCATACCAAGAGGACTGCCTGATCGAATGCACATTTTTTTGCTCCTACTGGGGGAATCCAACGCTGGGTAAGTTGTTAAATTTTGAACATCACCGAGATTGGATTGATCAGTATTACTTCCGTGATCTATTCTCTTCCTTGTGGAATAGCGTTTATTAGTTTCTTGAACAGATTTGTTAGAATTAGACTGATTTTTACGTATACTTGTATAGTTGAAGCTTAATTTCGTTTCCTCAGGACGTGAATCTCCACATTCAGGCACTGGAATGTTGCAGTGTTTATTCGCTATTGAAAAACAACTCAATATCATCCAATCAACAAGTCTATTTTCTAACCTGGAACTGATAAATGTAAGGAAGGGTTGTCACTATTTTCAGATTTATTCATAGGTATACTACACTTGACTTATTAAATGTTAGCCCACGTAAATGTCATGCCAAATTTGACATCACAGAATAAGGCCGTATTCTGTGTTTGACATTAAAGGCCAATTTACACGATTTCGTTTCGTGTTTTTGCGTAGCGATAAAATTAAGTAATAAATATTATGATAAGCACCGAAGTTTAAAATTTCAACTTTTCTGTTATTATATAGTAGCCCAGTCGTCAGGTACTTTTTGCCTAAAAATAATTCAAGGAGTTTTGATTTCTGGTGCATGGTGTAAGGTCAAGTGTCAAAAACAACATATTCATTTTGCGACCTCGAACTCCTTGTGGAAATTGTAAAAAAATCGTGTTTTGTTGAAAAAATTGATTTTTGGCAAATATTTCGGTTCTCGTGCGTTTTAGGAAAA